CGAGAATTTTACATTGCACATTTTGCATTTGATATCTGTAGTCAGGCCAAGGAAGGGCCGCAATGACAAAAAGAAGGAAAATTTGAGTGGATTACTGCCTTCAGTCATCTCCTCTGGTTACGGACGGCAGGCCTTTGGTTCCTCCTGCAGCGCATCCTGGCATTAAATAGGGCTTTTGCTTCCCTTTACATCAAATTTTTATCAGTCTGCATCCGGCATGGATTGATAAACCTTTACCTTTTGAAGATCAAAATATGGTTCTCAAAACTGCCCTTTGCTGTGAGGCAGTGGAAGAATTTCCAAAAAAATGAGATTAATTGAAAGGCATTTCGTACCGAAGCACACTATTTCCACTCCAAATATTCGAAGAAATAAAACAACTATAAGATTAGTGCGAACAATATGATATGGCTTTTTTCGCCCTTGGAATTTGCAGAAAATGAAAATAAACGCAAATTTGGGATCTGTGTACTGTAAAAAATGCTGCATTCTATTTTGCCCTCAATTCTCGATAAGATCGATTACAGAAAACCATCAGATTGAGTTTAGTCTTTGAGGTTATATCTATCAGTATTTTGCACCTGGAAAATTTATGAAGAGTCGTAGAGAACCGAGAACTTTGAGCATCTTTGTCGAAATTAGAGTGGATGGTGTCATTTTTGGCTTTTTTGCCAACAGTGAATTTTGCAAAAGTATTCTATCAGGTTGTTCCAGATTTTTTCAACCATTTTTACTGTCTACTGCAACAACTCATATTCTTCTTGTTTTTTGAGTAGGTTCTGCGGTATCAATTGACAGTGCAAAAGCTGTACAAGACGGGGCCCAAACTTCTGCTCAGAGTTTGTTCTATATAGAGTTCGAAGACGGAATCTAAAGATCTAAATGTCCGGAAAGTCGAGAAAAAGTCGTAACTCCATTCAAAAAATTCTTACAAACTTTTTACTTGCTCAAGCAAATTTCAGACAAATATCCGGTGTATTATCGACATTCTGAAGTTTTGCTGTAGAAAGTACATACTTTAATACATACTACTACATAAACTACTAGTACATACATATTAGTAGTTTACATTTAGGCAGGACTGTCATTTAAGCGAGCCGAAAAGGATAATCAAATAAATAATATTCATTTTTAGCTGTACATATGCCCATGTGCAGGAAGGCGTGACTTTTTTCTAGAGTTTTTAAACATCATAATTTGGATTGGTACGGTCTGCCTTCTGCAATCGTTTGCCTAGGAACAACATACCATTTTTTTGTTTCACTTGCGGGAAGAAAAACAATATCATGACTGATTTAAAACGTAAAAGACTGACGAGATATAATAGTAATTGGGGTCGAAAATTTGATTTCATTCTCAGCCTTAATTTTTAGTCCCTTCTAGAGAAATTATCTTAGTGAATTTGCTTAAAACGGCGATTCAGTAATGTAATTCAACGCTGTAATCGTCATTAGCTAGATTCTAGCTACAGTAAGACTGTCATTTTGCATTGGAGATTATAATAACAGTTATTTTGCAGTCTGCTCTGTCCACCCATGGCTGTGAGCTGAGATCAGCTCTATAGAAAACCGTAGAGCCAAAACACCGAGCTAACTTTGAGATCGAAGGCCAGCAAGCTATGATAATCATTGTGCTTATATTTAATCGCTCCTCTGTAATTTATCTTTTTTTTGTCGTCTGCCATTTTTCTGTATTTAGAAAACCACAGTTATCAATAAACTTTTTTATTGGAGTCTACTTTGCCTATCAGAACGGATTTCCGAGTACTGAGTATTGAAAGTTGCTTTCGTAATTGCTTATTTGTCGTCCTCATTCACTTCCTCTAATTTGCACTTTGTGATGTTGTACTGCTTACATTTTGCGCCCAATTTTTGATATACAAGAGTTTTTTCGGCCATTTAATTCGAATATGTGTTCAAATTTTCGCATCCTGTGGGATCAATCTATTTTACAATGTTTTCGTTCTGAAATGTTTCTTCCTTCTCTTGTAAAAGTGATGACAACGAGGAAGGAATTGATGAGTCGAGTCCTTTTGCACGGCTTTTATGGTATATGTCTCATGACGGACCTGTACCAACATCAGATGGAGTCTATGTATAGCGTACAATCTTAGCCCCATCTGCCTGATAGTTCGGTCTCATTGCTCCACATGATTCCATACATTGGACCGTTATCTCTTGCGCCGCACCTGCTGCTGATATTTCTGTATATTCATTCCAATTCATAAATAGCGAACGCTTTTCTTTTTTATTGCAAACTGTTCTCTTAAAGATAATCAACTTATTTGGAAATTTTTCTACCAATCAAATTCTACTTCGCTCATTCCAGAATTCCATGTTTCCAAATACACGAAATTTTAAATCCAAGAGATGGATAAAGGTGTCAAAGTTGTGCTGCAAAATGCTTCGAATTTTTTTTTGGAAACTTGAGAAGAAAATTGTCCGTTCGCTGTGGCCTCTGTGCTCTGTAAAATCAAGCAAGAAGAGAAGCAAAACGTTTGCTCAGGTGCAAGAAAGGACTAGTACATTTAATGGTGCAGAAATATCAAGTTATTGCTCTTAATCGGAAAACAAACTGGGAGCTCAAAAAATAGTAAATTTTGGCACTTTCTGAAAACCGATAAATAAGTCTTGCAGTACTCTCTCATAAAAGACTTATGCTCTTTACTGCTTTTCAAAGTCTATTCATGCGCATATAATTCCACAATTCTTTTTGAAAATTATTCGCGCCATAAAGTCTTTCTTGTAGCGGCTACGATTATACAAAAGCGTATATCGTGTGCACAAAGCTTTATTGTTTGCAGCAGTTCTTACCGTATCCAAAAAGACAACTCCGAAAATATTTTTGACGTGACTCGAAGATGAAACTCGGAAAATGATTATGTATCATGTGTCTATAACTCCATTCAAGCAAAAAAATTTTTTTGTTCGTTCAGAGGTACCATTTCCTGACCCAGCCCTACCATTGCATGGTAGTCACTCCCTGTTAGTTAGAAAAACCTTTTTCTATGTTCACTTAACTGAACGGGACGAAATTTTACGATTGGAAGAACTCTAGATTTTAACATCTTGGATATTTTCGGAATATGTACATTTTGCCCAAAACTCAATTCTTAGAAAGCTGCATTGTTGGGCGAGACATTTAACTTAAAAATATCTTGGCTAGGCATATGCAATACATCATTATTGAGCCATCGATAACCTTAAAAGTGTGCAGCTGAACGGGTTTTTCCTTCATATGCATCCTTCACTCAAATAAATATTTTTGTCTTTGACAGATTATTAACCTCTTTGATTATGTAATTACAAATCATAAGTCAATTTATTGTGGTGGACATTATGGACATTTCTACGCTTGGGTTAGATACTGAACCTATTGTTTTCATTTATATTTGTCACATTGACTGTGAAACTTCTTCGCTTATCATTTCTGCTATTATAACTCTATGAGCCCTGTCTATGAGGTCACATTTTATCTGGGTGCGGGAACTTACCTACCCGAAAGACTTGCCGCAGCGTACCTTAGGTATCATGAGCAGTCAAATACGAAATTAGCATAGTGTACAGAGCCTAGCCTGTGTGTATTCTAAGCCCCGCCCCATCCATCGACTCTTTCGCGATGCATCCATCAGTCATGAAACCGAGAATTCAATAGAATCACATAATTGATGTTCAGCAACTATTCGCTCAATTTCGATTGAAATAAGGATTTAGGGGTTTTCTGAGGCGCTCTTTTCAAATATGCTATTGGTCTTGCGTTGTCTTTTCTTATAGAGCCGAAAATTCACTTTATTGAATCGACTTTTAGCGTAAGAAATCTCGACAAAAAATAAAGCATGCCTTAGGACGTAAAACTGTTTTTTCACTGTTTCTTTCGGAACGTTAGAAGAATGGCCTATTTTTCTAGTGAGAACAGCCTGCCCTGAGGATTTAACCTTGGTGATAAAAGACTATGAAGGTCAGCTAGTCTGGCTTTGCGATCTTTTTGTGGCGAAATTAGAGATATTTTGCTGCATTTGAATCATACTCAGAAAGTCATGTTCAGAATTTTGGATTTACTGATCCTTGTAATCTATAACAATCTTTTACCAGTCGAATGATTTCATATTTTTGAGTTTATGGATTTTTTTGCATAAAATTGGGAATTTCTAATTCGGCACTTTCATATTGAGTTTGCCTTCTCCCCCTGATGACAATCATCTTCTTTCTTTCCATTAGCTCCATTTTGAGCCTCGCAGCCCTCTTTTATCACATTCTGGTGCTGAGCCAGCCTCGATGTCCTCAGGGTACTGCCAGGTTTTCTGGCATGTCTTGGTTCTATGCCAAAAAGGTGCAATGTGTGGGCGGAGCTTAGCTTAGCGCTGTATCCTAAGGAGCATCTGGGATCAGCGAACTCGCTATGCCTAATTATCCCCGCAGACACACACCCATGAGGTGCGAGAATATCTCGGGTAGGTAAGTTCCGTTCCCCTTCTAGCCCTTAGTAAGCGGTCCTAGCTCTCGTATGCATACAGGTATGTAACCCATAGATTTTTGCAATGTCTACACAATTTTGGACCCCGTATGAGATTGACCTCTTTATGCACAAGTCCCACGGCTGTTTTTCCGCCGTTAAAGTTTGCACAATGCTTAGAAAGGAGATGTCATCCATGTGCCCATTGCATTCTTGGATGATTCTTTTGAGGAGGGCATCGATCATCGAGCAAGCGCGAATTGCTTCACTGACAAAAAGCAGTCAAGGATTAACATTGCAAATATATGCAGGTAAACCGGAAGTAAAGCAAGTTTATAAGGTTGAAGACTTGTTTATATTAGTCCCATGAGCTCTGCGCAATTGTATTGAAAAGTGATCGTCTTTGATAGGCTGATTCTGGATATTGTTCGCTGCATCCCAAAAAATCTAGGTTTGGATTTTATGCTTGAAATATTGCATAAATGCTTTAGAGTTATTCAGATCTTGAGCTGTCAAGGTGTTCAGTTCTACGACGGGTCTTACTCTCAATGTGTGGACTTAATTGCATGCCTGTAATCAGACGAACCTCTGGCACGGAAGTCACGACTGCTTCTTTCGAGGAAATCCGAAGCGGAACAAATGCTGGACAATGGAACAACAAAAGGTACATTGCCGTTAACATATTTATACATGCACTAAACTTCAAACTGTGAAGTTGGTTAAGGGGATCCGCTGCTTTGCAAAACACTGCAAGCTATATACCAGGTTGAGTCAAAAGTAATAAGAACTTTTCGCTCTCCATTTCAACCTATCTACAGATTGTGTAGAAAAACGATAGAGAATTGCTTCAAACTGTCTTAGACAAGATTTCTGCGAGAACTTCAGCAGTTCTGTAAAGACTTATTTGGATTATGGCTGTTGTTAGGGCATTTGTCTGTCAACACTCCATAGGCCTGCTTGTAGTGACTATTCAATTTTTAAACAATTATAAAACTGCTCTAGAATTAAAAAATGAGGCTGTCGCCGGGCGTGCCTATCGACACTATGTTCTCTGAGACAACAAAGTCCAAAGTATAAGGCGACGGTTATTCACCAATGTGGATCTGGGTTTGGCCTTTTTCATCTAGTCTCAATGCTTTAGTTCGTCGTTGCGCTCCTGTTTGCCTTTTTTTCATCTAAGACAGCTGACCCTCTTTCTTCAAACTTCGTGCACTGCTTATATGTATTTACATGTTTTCTGCTTTCCTTACACCTGAAATTTATTATGTCAATTTGTAGCACTAAGAAATTAACTTCAACGGAGTTTTTCGAGTGGTAACCATAATTAAGGTTCTAAAAAGGGTTGTATGGACTACATTCAAGTGTAAAGATAGATCCTTGTCTTTAGAGAAGATACCCATTCAAATGCGGTATCTCAAAAATTATTTAAAATGATGTTTTCCTGATATCTCTCGCGTATAGTTGAAAATCCCATCAGCAAGTTTCATACTTTGTGTTATGATGGGGCAAAAAAGCCTGAGTTCCGACTCTACTCAACACCTGAATACTTCTAAAATTGTCGTTGATGAATATTTCTTACATTTACTTCCCAGTACATTTAGGTAACAGTTTTTGTTTATCTAGTGTTGAGTTGCCTAGCTAATATCAAGCTTCTTCTAGGTTCCTATGGAAGGTAGATTTCAGTAGTTTCTGTACATAGATCTTCCAAGAAGTCTTCTAGGCAAGTCAATATTAGTTTAATCATTACTTCGAAAATGACAATGATTTTGAATATCATTCGAGTCGTGCAGTGCTACTTACTTCGTTGCCACTCTCGTCCAGATCTTGTGTTCGAGGATTTCCAACTAATGACATTCTCAACCGAATGAAGATCTACAATTTTGAAAAATCGAATAGGATTGAGTAACCCCACCGGCACTGCCCACCGCATGATGAGTTCAAACGACTTCAAAATATTTTTCTCAATAATGTATGCTTCTGTATGGCAGAGAATGTTGCAGTTGTTATTTGCTCAGAAACAGACTTCGCGGCTTGTGCCATTTATCTTCGTGAGAAGATAGAAAAAAAATGTTTTGATGAAAAGTTAGCTTATAGCATTCTGTTTTTGAAATGAACCAAAGTGAGTCAGACGATGCAAGTTATGGAGTATTGATGACAGAGTTGATTCTCCTTCTTGTGGTCAACGACCATTTTTGAAATTTCACCAAAATTTCGAAAGTCATTCAAACATCTTATTTTTTTCTCGAATTCAAAGCCAAAAATATGAGTTTTATATCGTTACCTAAATACCTGAACGCTGTGAAGGATTTAGGTTGCCAGATTGTAGCGGCTGATTGTCCTCTTTTCTTTTATAAAAGTGAACCCATGACGAATAATCTAGAAAACTAAAAGTTTTATGCCTTGCTTTCATGAAGGTTGTTAGAAACCGATCATCGCATATTATTTCAAGGACTGCTGCAGCAATGAAAATGACATAATCGCGAATAGAAGTATCTTCATAAGCAGGTTTTCGTTGTTTTTAGAACCACTATTGATCTTTCGAAAAAGAAGGAAGAAATCTGTATGAGGAACTTCCCATTAGATGTTACTTATATACGCTTTATAATCGGAGGATTACTTTGAAATGATCCTTGATGCTCGGTACCCTGTGGATTATGATCTATGTGAAAATTAAGTTTATGTTCTCTACATTTCGTAAGCTCAACGAAAAAATCTTTACTGCTAACCATATGGTGCTCGGCTCGGCTTAACAGCTTAAGGGCTCAACATGCTTTCATGATCATAATTTTCAATAGAAAAGCTCTATGAGCACAAATCTAGCACTCTTAGAAAGAGCAGCTTACAAAACCTATAAGAAACATGCTACCAGGTTTTTCTGCAGCGTTTCAGATTTTCAACGATTTATTTTCGAAAATCGGGAGTTTGAATGGTTCTCACCATCGAATATTTATCTCTGATTATCTCCTTTGTTTTCAAAGAGGAGTTTTTTTGTAATGAGATTTTTTGTAAGCAAATAGTTCACATAGGGAGCAGTTACGAATTCTTCAAAATCAAAGCGACAGAACTTTTGCATCAATTAGATATATATATATATATATATATATTAGGTTGGTCCGAAAGTTCGTTCGCACCATTCTCAAAAAATCATAACTTCTTTCCTTCACAATGATTTTGCGCCTTTCAAATTTTATTAGAAAGCGTGAAGCATGTAGTTTCCAAGAGTCCTCTGACGACTTTCCAGCATGTTCAGATTGTAGAGATAAAAATGAAAGAACGAGAACATTTGAAATTCGGTGAAAAGTTTGTGCTGATCGAGCCTTCTTTTAAAAGTTATGAATTTTTGAAAAAAAAAATGCCGAAAAATCATTTTCCTAAGGATTCCTAAGAAATCGATTTTTCGGCATTTTTTTCAAAAAATCATAACTTTTGAAAGAAGAGCTCGATCAGCACAAACTTGACTCAGTTAGTAATCAAATATAAGAAAAATTAGGATAATGGCTTTTCTGGATTTTAACGCGCAGTTTCTAGATTTTTGGAATTTTTTCTCAAACATTCCAAATTTCGGATGTTCTCGTTCTTTCATTTTTATCTCTGCAATCTGAACATGCTGGAAGGCATTCAGGGGACCATTGGAAACGACATGCTTTACGCTTTCTAAAAAAATTTGAATTGCGCAAAATCATTGTGAGGATAGGAAGTTATGATTTTTTGAAAATGGTGCGAACTAACTTTCGGACCAACCTAATAGAACCTATACCGTTTCTGTTTACTTCTCCGTTATTGCAGGCTATCTTAACACGTTGACGACAGTGTCGCGCAATGGTGCGCGACACTCTAAATACCAGTTCGAATGTGCACAATGGTTCCAATTTGTGTTCGCATAATCAGTTTAGGCTCGGAAGTTTTTCATGTTGGCCCCGCCCCTCTTTTCGCAAACTCCGCCCACTCCGTTGCCCTGTACAAAAAACTTTTTTCGTTCTCAAATCGCATAGAAAAGCTCGTAGATGACTGGGGAACCTCAAATAATCTTAATTTTGACCCCGCCCTCAATTATGCAGGCCCCGCCCCCTGGATGGCAAGCTCCGCGCACTTTTCAAAAATGCCGGAATTTGCACGAATTCATTGATTTTGAGCAATTTCCAGCATTTTTGAAAGGTGGGCGGGGCTTGCCAAGAGTGGGCGGAGCTTCCCCGCCCACTTGCATTTTTGTACCTCACGCATAGATGCATACACACATATATGCAGCCGGCTGTGAAAATGCCCGGAAACGGTTTGTCCACAGGGACAGACGTCAAAAAAACAGCTCGTCGTCAACGTGTTAAAGCATATGCCACGTTCTGTCTGCTGCTTTTAGGCCGTAATCATTGATAGAATGTGACCGTAAGCTAATTATTAAAGCAGATTGTATACGTTGTTCTAGACACACCTGAGTATGCCGATCTCGTCAAAGCCAATGATAATTTTCATATCAAAAAACATCCAACTTCAACAGAACCTTTTTCGACAGTCACGTTCATTTACTAGCTCAACTTTTAGTAATCCCCAAAGAAGTTTAAGAGCATTTATCATAGGCTAGCATAGGCACAGTATCGATGTTTTTCTTCTTTACGACCTCAAGATGTGATGTTCTGTTTCAGAAGTTTTTCTATGCTTTTTCGTTCATTACACCAAATCATTATACTGTAAGCAATATGTGTCTTGTTGTTAGTACTTTCAAATCAGAAAGTTTATGTTTCTGCTACCAAAAGCATCTTCACTTTTGCTAGACCATTGTGAAATGATAGTAACCCAGTGACTCAATCTTCTCCAGTCATGTGAACACTATTCAACGTTAGGAGTAGAGGGATTTTGCCGACTATTGTATGCGAGTTTTGCACTTGTAAAGTTGCCATATTTTTGCTCTTTTTTTATTGGTTGCACATGCTGATCGTTATGAAAATTAGAACCTAGACAAAATTACGAAATCCTATCATTTTATAGGATCTTATATGTCAAAACGGGCTGATTTCTCGTAGCCGCTCAACGATTTTAGTTATCATTTGCATTTACCTGAGTGTAGTGATGACTTACTTGGTTTGGACACTTCAATCAGACTTGTGGATTAACAAAGATTGCGCAGTCCAGGTATCACTATCTCAAAAGTTGTAGTCCCGAATCTATTGGATGGCATAGTTGTGCGAAAAGATGAACTTCTCAAAAAATCTGGACTGTTGTTAACTAAAGTGATTTGCTTGAAAGATCATCTGAGTAGTCTATTTTCAAAATCAGAAGTCAGCTCCGGAGTATAGCTGACAGATCTCTTAAATGAGCGCAAAATTTTGTAATCGACTTTATGGAAAAGATTAATACCAAGTCTTTCAAAAATTTGGTGACACTTTATTTTCCACTTCTCCGTTCCAGATCATGCAGCTCTAACATTTTTACGGTCCCGCCAGTGATGAAAAGCACTGAAGCTTGTGTGATTTAGAGTAATAATCAATTTTCTACGTCTCTCGTATTGTTCATCCATCTCTTTGCTGTGTTCGCAACATGCTTCTTAGGTTGACGCAGAATGGATATGTGTATGTGTGTTTTTAAGCCTTTTTTCCAGACACTGCATCCTTACACTTTTCAAAACAAATCAAGCAAAGTATTCGAAAGCGCCTTTTGCCTTTCTAACAATGG